AATAAAAATCCTCTTGTGGCCACGGAGGTCCAAATATGGTGACTCCAGACTATCTACAAAACAGGTGATCGTCCTGAGATTAGTCAGCTCACATGACGGATTGGATATCCAGGTTAATAAAGTAATTTAAAGATAAGTAATAGAAGTAGTGTTGCTCATTATTAAATGTGCACTCCTCCTATCCTCATCATGGAAGTCTTAAAGGAATTGATTAAACAAATAAATTCTCTTTAACCAAATCTCGTTAATTGTTCATCAATTATTATTTATATTATGATAGAATATTTGATAAAAATTCTTTAAAATCATTTTGTATGCATGAAATAATGTTTATTGATGTATATTACTTATAATTTAAGATTACAAGTAATTTTGCATAAGTACAAATTATTAAAAATTAATTTTGAAATTCATATAACTAACTGTAGATAAAAATAGTCAAATACAAAATAAACATTTCATTTTAAATATAAAAATTTAAAATATAATTAAGATAATCATTAAGTTATAACATAATGTTTGATTATTATCTTTATAAAAAAATATTATTAAACCAAAAATAATTGGGTTGTTACCAAATCTAAATTAAATTACAATAAAAAAAATTGAATTAAAGAAGTTACACAAAAAAAAACCATAACTATTAAATAGTTAATTTAATACTAATATCGATTTATTGCTTTACAATTTTTATGCTATCTTCAATTTTATATTTCATTCAAAAATAAAAACATTATCGTTTTCTCAAAATCACATAAACTCGTATTATATCAATAGAGACAGAATAAAAACTAAACATAAAATCGAGATTTATCTCGCTGCATTACGCGAGTATACTTCTAGTAGAAAAAATATATTTTAAGAAATCTCATTAATTGTTTAACAGTTATTTTAAGCCAACATATTTATTTTGAAAGGCAACATTTTATTAAAAACTAAAGGAAACAACATTTCATACAAAGAGATTTATAAGGAACAAGTAATAAAGAGGGAAACAAAGCAAACCCCACAAGAAAAAAACAACTAACAAACAACTAAGTCTATAAAGAAGGACCAACATGGGCCGTTTATCAAACGCTTATCTGAGTAAGTGTTTATCAAGTAACATTATCTCACCGTATGAATATGGTAAAGACCAAAAATCTTACTCGGAAAGAGCGAGACAAGGACCAAGAGCCTTACTCGGTAAGTGAAGGCGACGACTCTTACCCGGTAAGCGCTTACTGGGTAAATTGTTGCATACGATGTTGTTTTGGCGGATTAAAATCTTACCCGGTAAGTAAATAAGAGTGTTGAATTTTACCAATCAAAGGATTTTAACTGAAGGTCATGAAGATATAAGTATTTTTGAGTTTTCAAAGAGAATAAGTAACAATCCAAAGAACCGCTTGCCACACATCCTTCAACGATCCCGCTATCTGCCTCCCATCATCGAAAATCAATAACTCGGAGACGGAAAAGGGTAGAACATAGTTGATTTCCCACCATTTAAAGATGCAATTCCAAAGCAACAAGGAGACCTTGCAACCAAGTAAACAAGGATCCATCGATTCAACATGATCTCTACAAAACGGGGTAAAGCACTGAATCGAGATCGATTCCTCTTCTGTTGAGCTCCTGAAGAACCGGTAATTTGTTATGAAATGCCTCCAAACAAAGACATTCACTTTTCTATGAACTAGCTTGTTCCATAGTCTCGCTTTTATCGTCAAGAAAAGATTGGAGAAAGTATCTATCCACTAAATGTCGAAGAGATGAAGTAGTGAAAGACCTATCCAATGTAAGGAACCAACTTACCTGAGAGTCTGAGCCCTTGGGAGAAACATTCTACGACAAAAAAAAAATCAAGTCAAAAAAATCGCTTGAAACTCTCCCCCAAGGAGAAAGAACCCAATTCCAATTCCAGACCCACAACGGAAAAATCTAGAAAACCTGTCACTAACCTGAAATTACCTAACCAAATGACCTTTGGCCTAGCGGTATCGTAGCCCTTGGCCTTCTAAGAAGTCAGGTGTTCAAACCTCACTGTAAGTGAAGAGGGTGTGTGAGTTTATTTGTTCCATTTGCCGTATATAAATATTATATACTTAAAAAAACCTGAAATTACCTATCCATTTGAATTATCTTTTATTTTGACTCGACCAAAATAATTTATTTAAGGATTGTTTATTAAAAGCTTACTTTGTAAGCGTTTAACAGGTATCATCTACCTCTCCAGTGAGCATGACAAAAACAGAAAATCTTGTTCGGTAAAAGTTATAGCAAGTACCGGATCTTACTCAATAAGTACGATAAAAGACTCTTACCCGATAAATGATTATCATAAATAAAACACTTACCAACAATTCATTTTGATATCCAATAATTTTACCAGATAAGGTAAGTAAATATAATAGCTTTTACCCATAAACACTTATCCAGTAAAACTTTTTGATAAATAACACTTAATTTATTCAAATACTGCATAATTAATTATTACTAGGCAAATTGCAATAAACAATTTAAACGACTTCAATAATAATTTTTTTTAAAATCACTGATAAATCTATATATATCTATAAAGCAGAATCATGATACGCTGACGTGGCATCTCCTCGATGCAAAGATCCTATTTTCCTCTTTTTTCTACATTTTGATTTTTTTTCTTAGCAATTTTACAAATTAATGTTCACATTTAACTCAAAAGCTCTCCCCTTTCTCTTGGTACGTTTCAACTTCAATCTTTAAATCCCTCAATCTCTGGTTTTTTCTTAGTAATTTTGCAAATTAATGTTCACATTTAACTCAAAAACTCTTCCATTTCTCTTGGAATGTTTCAACTTCAATATTTAAACCCTTCAATCTTTGGTTTTTTTTCATTTATGTGTTCTCCATCACCATACGCTCTCCCCTCTTCTTTTCCATCTCTCATCTATGACAGAAGAGTATACAGGGTTTATCAATATGTAAGAAGGCATTGGAACTTGGATTAAGGAGAAGTCTCTATTGAGGCTTTAGAATTTTGTTAGAATTTTGATTATTTTTGTTTTTGTTGTAGATTCACTTTTGTTTTTATGTTTTTTATAGTTTTTTAATTTGTAATTTTGTAAGAAAATAACACCAACAATAAAGTGACATTTTTAGGCATCGCAATCTAATTTTCTTTTTCTCGAACTTTGCTTTTTTTATTGATGTAATTATTATCAAAACATTAAATTAATTAGACTATTCATTTTCGTTGGTTACACCCAATTTTTTTTGTTCGTTTATCCCATGTAACTCTATTTTTCATTTACATAACAATAATTGAACACACACACACACACACACACACACACATATATATATGTATGTATGTATGTATTCAATATACATAATCAAAATATCTGAAAACTCATTTATATGAATGAAATTACGATCAATGTATGTGTATTTTTATTTACATTCTTGAATATTATATATGTATATATATTTACATGAGACTTGAATATAATAATATGTATATTCATATTTATATTTTTCTCAATTTTTGTCTTTTTTATTGATGTAATTATTAGCAAACATTAAATTAATTAAACTATTAATCTTCTTTAGTTACACTCAATTTTCTTTATTTCTTATAATTAACGAATATATAAATAATCAATATATTTAGAAACTCACTTATATAAATGAAATTATGATTAATATGTATAATTTTATTTACATAATACTTGAATATAATAATAGTATATTTACTAAATGACCAAAAACACGAGTTTCAATCATTTTTTAGTACAACATAATAAGAAAGACAAGATTAACCGAGGTTGTTCAAACAAGCATAAGACAATTAAAAGGTATTACCGTAGCAATTGGGGTTATGGATTTTCAGTTTATGGGGGTAGTATGGGACTCGTAGTCGGGGAGAAAATTACCCATTTGATTGAATACGCGAAGTTGGGATCATAAAGGTTAGTTGAGAAATTGTGAAATTGGATTTTACCGACAGTGCATCTCCCGTACTTTGCCAATGTATATCTCATAAACTGTAAGTCGGAATAAGCTTGTTCTTGCAACCACTTTCATGAAGGGTCGAAAGTCAATTATGACTCTAAGTGGCTCGAAACAGTGTGTTTTCGAGGTTGTTTACACTGTATTCGGGATTAATTTGTTTTTTTGTAAAATTCGTATAAAATATACGGATAATCAAAATGAGGTGGGTAGATTCATATATCAAAGGTAATATTGATTCTTATTAATTTAATATATAAATATGATCATCGATTCATTTAGCTAACTTCAATAATTTAAAAAAATATCGTCATCACGCAACGCGCGATGTGAAACACTAGTTTAATAATAAAATAAAATAAAATATCCATGTGTAACCAAATGCCAAATGTCACCATTATCAACAGCGGCACCCACAACGATTGTTTGGTTCGGTTTTTGCTGAATATATATATATATATATATATATATATACATATATATATATATCGTGTGTGATGGTCGACAAGATTTAGAAATTAGTTATCTGAAATAAAAAGCAATAATAGAGTTATAGAGGGCCTCAACATGTGACACTATTGTTGATTGATGTCTTGTTAGAGTCATAAACTTGTAACGTTTGTTTCAAACATCGAGTGTAATTAATGCGTTAGCTTGCTCTTGTTTGTTTTATTCAGTCTTCTTTACATATGTTTTTAGTCCGTTAACGGATTCTATAGTTATTTTTGTTCGTAGAACATGCAAACATTATCTTCCTTTCTTTATAATCGAGAAGATAATTTGACAAGGTCATTTAATGATAACTCGTTTATTAATATGAATATCCGACCCGTTATCCAATGGATTCAAATCACTTTTTTCTGTAATGAAAAAACTCAGAAATGGGAAATCTAAGAAAATAAAGACAGCTAGGCAGATGGTGTAAAACCAGTAACTTTTTAAGGTAACCATCTCATATATGTATTGTGTGTGTGTGTATATATATATATATGCATGTAGGGATGCATCCATGTGTGTGAGGCCAGAGATATCACTCTATCTCAACTCTCACCCTTTCTCTTTCCTATCACCATCCATTCTTCTTGGATTTTGTTTCTGAAATCACTCCATCTTCTGCTTGCTTGTGTATGGTTCATAAATCTGTCCCAAAAATCTTGGAGATTTCTTCACATTTCACCAGGTACTTGCTATAATCCCCTGTTTTTGCTTTAGGGTTTAGGGTTCTTGCCAGATCTTTCTTGAAACAGAGCCTTACAAATTCCCCCCAAAAAGAAACCCAAATCTTGTTTGATTGTAAATTGTGTTTTTTTTGTGTAGTTTTGTGTTGTAGATCTGATTTCCTGAGATGGGTTCACTTCTTCTTCACCTCTAATTGCCTAAAATCCTGTAGATTTTGTGGGAAAACCAACATGGATCTTGGACAGACAAAAAAAGCAATGAACTTTATACAAAAAGACACTTGAATTCATGATTTCCAGCTTGAATTTGACATCATTTTAGTGGGTTTTTGTTTAAAATTAGTGTTCTTTTTTCATGGAACTTGATTGATCTTCAAGATCCAACTTTTGCAATAAAAATAAAGTGGCAACAACTGATTGAGTGCTATGGTGATCAAAGAATCGTATCAAAAGATAAAATGGCTTCAATCAAGGGGCAGGTGGAGGGCCTGAGAGCTCTGTTTCTTACGTCGTATACCCTCTAATTTCAATTCAGTGGGCACAATCAGATAGGCCCCTACAAGACCTTTTTTTCCTAAAACTTGGGCCCAAATTTCATGTGAGTTGTTCATAAAGTTAGATGCCACCAGATCTTGAAATTTTTCCCCCTTTTTCCCATTTATTATTATTTATTACTAATATTTTCCATCAGATCTGCACTGATTTCCTGACCTCACTTTGCTGTTTTCTTTACTTATATTAGCACCCATGAGCTAGACTAGATCTGTCCCTTCCAACTCAAGAACACAGTTTCCATCTTTAGTAACCACTGGGATCTAGGTTTGTCTCAAGAATCTGTCTTGTTTTTCTTTCCATTTTTGAACACATTCTGTTTAGATCATATACCTGAAGCATAAAACTAGTGTTGCTGTTTGTGGGTGTTTCTTATATGAGATAAAGTTAGGAACTTGATTAGATCTAGGTTGGATTAACTGTCAAATACTTGGATTTAAGCTTCTAATGATACCTAATCCACTCTTTGTGCGTTCGGGTTTGTTAAGTGGACCCCATGGTTGCTATATTCGATTCAAATACAGCTTTAAATGGTGTGATTTACTGGTTTTTTTGACTTGATTTTGTGAGCAGATAAGGGAAAATGAAGCTAAAAGATGATAAGCCCATACGGCCAAATGATAAGAGTACGAAGGTTGTTCCGATGGCGATTATGTTCGTTGTGTTATGTGGGTTTTCGTTCTATCTTGGCGGGATCTTTTGTTCCGAGAAGAACGGATTTGTTACTGAGGAAGTTGTGAAATCAGTTGAATCTTCCCAAAAGACTGTTTCTACTCCTGTCCAAGTGAAATCCGTTTCGTTCCCACAATGCAGCGCCGATCTACAAGACTACACGCCCTGCACCGATCCTCACGTAAGTTCCTACATATATAAATACATGATTGGTTTGTATACTTTGTTAGAATCAGATGGCTTGTAAATAAAACGTCTCCTTTACGTAATATATATAGGTTTGATGGTCTGTGTCTAGCTGACTTGGGATTCTAACGGTTTGATCGCCTGTTTTTATGATTTTGATCAACAGAGATGGATGAAATACGGACGACACAGGCTTACGTTCATGGAACGTCACTGCCCAGCAGCGTTCGACAGGAAAGAGTGCCTGATACCGCCACCGGATGGCTACAAGGAGCCAATCAGATGGCCGAAGAGCAAAAACGAATGTTGGTACAGGTAAAGATTTGATCTTTATCGTTAAACTTTGATGAAAACATAAACTTTTATCGTAAATTAAGTTGAAAAATGATGTTTAGGAACGTCCCATATGACTGGATCAACAAACAGAAATCTAACCAGCATTGGTTGAGAAAAGAAGGGGAGAAATTCTACTTCCCTGGTGGTGGCACCATGTTTCCTAATGGTGTTAGTGCTTATGTTGATCTGATGCAAAATTTGATTCCTGGAATGAAAGATGGGACAGTTCGTACCGCCATTGATACTGGTTGTGGGGTGAGTTTTCAGAGCTCGAATTCGGTTTCTTTACTGGTTTTTGGAGCAGACCCTTTTGAAATGTTGATCAGATTAAGCAAAATCTTGAATTTCAAATTGTTTTGGAGCTAAAATCTTGAATCTTTCAGGTTGCTAGTTGGGGAGGTGATTTGCTCGATCGTGGAATTCTTACAGTTTCTCTTGCCCCAAGAGATAACCATGAGGCGCAAGTCCAGTTCGCTTTGGAACGTGGGATTCCGGCCATTCTTGGAATCATATCAACACAACGTCTTCCATTCCCTTCGAATTCATTCGATATGGCTCATTGCTCCAGATGCCTGATCCCATGGACGGAATTCGGTAATGTTTTGAATAGATTTGCTGTAATTTCATGGATGATTTGTTTTATCCCCACCATATGTTTGATAAAAATGTGTCAATGACTTTTTCAGGTGGAATTTACCTTCTTGAAGTACACCGAATCCTCCGACCCGGAGGCTTCTGGGTCCTGTCCGGTCCGCCCGTAAACTACGAGAATCGGTGGAGAGGTTGGAACACGACGGTTGGAGAGCAAAAATCCGATTACGAGAAGTTACAAGAACTTCTAACTTCGATGTGCTTCAAATTGTACAACAAGAAAGACGATATAGCAGTGTGGCAAAAATCCTCGGACAACAGCTGCTACAAAAAGCTCGATACTCCTGACAACTACCCACCAAGATGTGATGACGGGACTGAGCCCGATTCCGGATGGTACACCCCGTTGAGACCTTGCGTCGTTGTCCCCGACCCCAAAATCAAGAAATTGAGCTTAAAATCGATTGCAAAATGGCCCGAAAGATTGAACGTGGCTCCAGAACGGATTTCTGACGTTCGTGGCGGCAGCGACGGAGCGTTTAAACACGATGATAGCAAGTGGAAGAGCCGAGTGAAACACTACAAGAAGTTGCTTCCTGCTCTCGGAACCAATAAGATCCGAAATGTGATGGATATGAATACGGCTTACGGAGGTTTTGCTGCGGCTTTGATCAACGATCCGCTTTGGGTCATGAACGTTGTCTCCTCGTATGCTCCCAATACGCTTCCTGTTGTTTACGATAGGGGACTTGTCGGGACTTTCCAAGATTGGTAAGTTGAAACACGATTATATATAGACGATAACCGATAACCATGTATCCTGCGTTGTTTGTATATGAATTCACTCATTTGATCTTTTGTTAGGTGCGAGGCGTTTTCAACATATCCTCGAACGTATGATCTCCTTCATGTCGACGGCCTCTTTACGACCGAAAGCCATAGGTAAGCTACGAATTTCAACTTTCGTTCTTCAACTATATTTTGCTTTTTGTTGGAGTCTAATATCGGTTAGACATAAACCATCAAACCTAAAAGAGAATCTCAAAAAGGTCGAGAACCGTAAAGAAGCAGTGAACCATATGTTGTTTATACAATGTTGTTTCACATTGTGAAACAAAAAATTACACGTAAAAAAGTTTCACACTGTGAAACCAATATATGTGAAACAATAACCTAAATCCTAGCATTCGATGAAAAAAAGACCAAGTAAAACAATACGTTAAGAATTGATATATATATATATCAATTCATTTTACGAACCAATATTCATCGATGCATATTACAATAAATCAAGAACGAATTTCAATGAATATATTCATAAATGCATACATAATAGACACAGATATATGCATTGATGAATATATCATTTGACATAATACACATTTTGATAGTATATATGCATCAACAAATGTATTGATTTTCATGTTCTCAAAATATTTTCGGTTCTTACATTAACTATCCGCATATATATATATATATATATATATATATATAAGACTCAAGCTTAAGTGTTATACATATATATATATATATATATAGAATGCTTATGTGGCACACGTATATTTTGGGTTGGAGGCGTTACAAATGGCATCTATCTTGCAAACAAACTCGAGACTCACCTTTGGCTTCGACTTTTCACGTAGGTGTGAGATGAAACACGTGCTACTAGAAATGGACCGGATCTTGAGACCAAACGGATACGCAATCATTCGGGAATCGAGCTACTTCGTAGACGCGATCGCCACTATAGCAAAAGGAATGAAATGGGGTTGTCATAAAGAAGCCACCGAGTACGACATCGAGACCGAAAAGGTTCTCATCTGCCAGAAAAAACTCTGGTACTCGAAGCAAAGCTCGTAGCCGACCAAAAACAACCGAATTATTTTTGAATACACGGGTTTAAGATTTAACCGCAACAAGGTGTATAAGAAACGTAAGTTTTTCGTTATCTTGATTCGCAAAAATCATTCGATACGCATAATCATTGATGAATATCAAGAGAAAATTTAGTTTTATTTTAAAATTTATTTAATTTTAAAATTTTTGTAAGGTTGAGCAAGAAGTTGTACCAAGAAATCTTTCTTTTTCTATGTGTTTTGTTATAATTTGGTGTAACAATTGTAAGCTCACATTTTATATTAAGTAATATACAACTCTTATAGCATTATTATTATTATATTTTCTCCATATTTATCTGTATTATCTTATAAAATATTTAAATACGCAGGGCCGGTCCTGTGGGTGGACAGCCTAGGGCATCTAAACCCAAAGGGTCCAATATTAGTTGTATAGTCATTAAAAATTAAATTAAAGTGTTATTAGAAAGATTTGAACCCATGTCATCTAATGAGCTGAACATTATTTTGTTTATGTTTATCTAGATTTCCCTTTTAATATTTCGCTCCCTATTCTCCATTTCTTTTTTTTCACTTCCAATTAAATTTTAAACTTTATTTTTGTCGTGCTATTACAACAATAAATATTTATTTGACATAAAACTAATAGCACAATTAATATTTGTACAAATTATTATTTTAAAAAGACCCTATAATAATACTTGAAAACTTATTATTTTTGTTATGTGTATCATTTGGTCAAAGATGTTTGTTTATTCAAGAAATTGGGTATAGATTTGTTGTTCGGTAAAGGGCATCTTATCATCACCAAAATCCCATTTTTATACCAATTTTCACACAATTTCACTACAATTTTACACCAACCGATGTTGGTGAAATGTACAACAAATTTGATATTTAATATTTATGCAAGTTTGATGTATATATAATTTTAATTTATTTGATTACAAATGCTATTTTAGTTATAATATTTATTAATGTTATATTATAAGTTATGCTTATATTAGTTCATGTATGATATATATGTATAAATAATAAAACATAAAAAATGACACACATACACACACACACACACATATATATATATATATATATATATATATATATGGAAGCGATCAAATGAAAACCACTCAATTTGTAAAAACCGTAAAAACTTTATTTCACCAATCTTAATTTTTCATTTTGTTCGTTTTTTTGTAATTATAAGAGGTTGATTAATCATTTTTATTGTGGAAGATTTTAATCATGGATATTATCATCTTCATTATTT